CGTAATATTTTACTTATGTATTTTGTCTATTTTTCCGTTTTTCACGATTTTTCCCATTTATTGGAAAAACCCGAATTTCCTTTTAGAAAATAATAAGCTACTCTTGATACAACGAAGCGAGATTTTCGGTAGAAAAGTTTACACAACAAATCGAGGGGTATATTGCAATTAAAGTAGTCCGAGTGAGCGATTGCTTGGGTCTTTAGGAACACCCAAAATGCATTTGATTTTTCCTTGTTTAGGTAAAAAGGGAAAAAATGAAAAATTTGTTTTCTGAAACACGGGTTCGAGCTCGCAAACACTAGGATGAAAATAGGTATGTATAACCATTCAGCTATGATAAACACACTTTATAAAAGACAATATTTAGTTATTTAACATAATATCAGAACTTTAAAAAGTTTTAATTTCGAAACTTAGTCAGTCCGATCAATTCTGACTTCACCATCGTTTTTAAATCGGCAACATACATATGTTTAAAGAAAAATGTTTCGTTGACTTGTTGGATTTGTTCGTCTGTTCGTTCTGTTCTACTATTTTGCATATGTGTTGCTTTATTTTTTCGATGGCATAATGGCCCTCCTTGCGTCTTACTGGCATTGTTTATTGTAACACAAATACAAATAGACAACATTTTTCTACTTGTCTTACTGATAAAATTACATAAAGACAGTTTATAACTGTTTTATATAAAATATAATAAAATATTGCAAACATAATATGGCACATAGATCTTTAGAGTTGTTTTTATTTATATTAGTTACCATTGATATGTTTTGACCAAACTTTTACATTTTTTTTTCATTTCGTCCGTTTAAGTAAGGTAATCCATAAAAATAAATAATTTAATAATAACTAAAAACCGAATTAAAATACTAAAATCACAGTTATAAAATAGTGGGTGGGGTTAGAAGGATGAAAAATACTTGTCGACCTATTCTCATACCTACCAAATACACAAAAAATGACATTAAAATCGGTCATGTCGTTTCAGAGGAGTGCGGCCACAAACACGTGACACGATAATTTTATATTTAAGATAATATAATATTATTTTATATAGAAGTATAAAAATAATTGAGTAATTTAAATTTACTTGGCATTTGAAAATATATTTAAACAGTTCTTGTAATTATTGATCGTCGATTATCAATATATTTGGTGTTAAAATTACTAAACATGGAATTGTTAAATTATTTATGAATATTATGATTTTACAGTTACATAACAAAAACTTAATTTACCTTTTTTACATGTATAAAGTTATAATTAACAATGTTGTTTTCAACTCAAATCTGGCATAGTATAACTAGATATACGTAATTTAGGACTTAAACATTTAATACAACACCTCAATGTCGTTATTTTATCAACAAATTATAGTTAATTTGACATTTAGCTACTTAACGGTCAATTAAATGTAAATTTAACTCCAATATCTCTATGTGTATATTTAACCTTTTGCCTATGTTTTTTGGATCTTCCCCAATTACTTTGAAAACCCCTTAGAAAATTAAAAAGTGACCCACTTAATGCACTAACTTGATAAAATTAACTTTCAGAGAAGGTGCTACACATGATACTTCGGAGCAAGTTTTCAGGTAGAAATAAAAACACACATTATAGTAAAACCAATAAATCCTTCGTTACGCTCCGAATCTAAAATGTTGGAGTTATAATGATCAGGCACATGACCTGAATTTTTTTTGTGGGGGTGGGGGTTCTAAATATAAAATTTATCATCAGCTATCAATCATCTAATTTAACTTAAAATTTTGATTAAGTGCCTGATAATAATTTAAATATCTCTAAGATAGTTGTGTATATAATTCAGACTTCGATTAGGTTAACATTACCTATCTATACTTTTACACAAAACATAAACAAAACCACAATCTTTTTTTTTCTTTTCTTCGTTCAATAATATCCTTTTACTCTAATTTTTATATTATATATTATTTCATCCGATATGTCTCCATTATCACGTGATTTAAACATTACGAAAGTCACTTTTTACCCTCACTTTTTCATCGCTATACCTATATAGCGGGTAGGTTTACATTTTGTTAGACGCAAACAGATTTGTTACGATGACAAAGTAACCGCAGGTGCAATGCGTCCAGCGTCTTTTCTCGTTAATGGCCGATCAATCTTTACCGGCAGTTCTTTCCCATTGATTAAATTGAACGAAAAAAAATAAATAAAAATACATGGCATAGTTCCAAAACAGAGTATACTTACAACTTTTCAATCACAATTTGTTTTCACTTTCAAATAATTCAGAGTATAATATTTATTTTATATTTCTCGGAATACTTGTTTATGAAATTAAATCTTAAACATAGTCGGCGATAAGCGTAACTACGTAGGTCATAAAAAACAAGTTGATACTGTTCACGAGTCGGACACTATTGTAGATAAGTTGTTTGGAAGCCAGAAGGTATAAGATATACAGGCTGTAATTTAGTTTATATATAGAATGTATGCAACGATAAAACAATTCTGAGTGGAATAGTATTGGTTAGTCGGGTTTTTCCCTTGTTGTCAAAGTAAGTCAAAGTAATATTAAACTACAAAAAAAAAAAAAAAAGCCAATGAATGAGAGGGAGAGTCTAAGACAGTTCATAGGATTCTGAACGTCCGAGTTCAGTTCGTTCCCACGACGGTCTAACTATAGATGCAACTAGAGGGGTGTTAAGAGGTCTTTAGAATCCGTAAGCTTAAAATTAAAAACCCCCAAAAAACCCAATAAGTTTTTTCTAGTAACGCCTAAATATTTTATCCATGTGTTTCGTAATTATTGCAAAGGAAAACATGAGCAGAACAAAAACAGATTACCAAAAAACAATGCATGTGATGAAAAATAACATGGACTATAACTAGGGTTGCCATAAATTCATCAAGCAAATACAAGACGGGCAGAAAAAATAGCAAATAAAATTAACCTCAAAATAGGTACTTATATATTAAAAAAAACCAATTACAACACAAATTGTCTTTATTTTTTTATAAATTATACATTTATTATAAAAAAACACATTATTTATTTATATTTGTTTTAGTTATTAAAGATATAATATAAAACATAAAATAATAAGCTAGGTTCGAGACTTATAGCAATTAAAAATCCACAAAAAAATGTAAAAAAAGAAATTAAACATATTTTATAAAAGTAAAAATGTTAAGGGGCAATGAAAAAATGCTTTTTCTAACTTATGATACACAATTTTCTAATACCACAAACACAAATTAATCTTTTATAAATTTAAAAAAAAAAAATGTTGCGTGTTATATAAAAATGATTTATGATTTTTTTTAATCATATTCATTAGTATTAGAAGAGAGTATTTTTTAAATTGATGGGTTAGAGGAGGGAATTTCATGAACCCTATAATTTTTTATCTCTCGACTACAATTATTATTCGAAAAGATTGTCGAAATTCAATAATATTAATTTTTTTTCAGAACCGGTAAAAATATAAGCGTCCCGACATTTATTTTCGGGACACCGGTACACCAAGCCAAAAACCAGTGACAGTCCTGGTTTTCCGGGACGTATGGCAACCCTAACTATGACTATAGACTAGATACCCTTAAGAGAATTATAACCAAACAGGGCAAACATAGAAGTCCCTCTCCCCGGTCCCCGTTTTTGGAATTTCAAATTAAAACCAGTGCAAATCATGTGTACCTTGTTTGTACCCGATTATATCACAAATCTCGTCATTTTTATCTCAACTTCCCCTTAATCAGCATTACTTAAAAAATTTAAGATTTAGTGATTTAAGGAAAAATAACAAATTAAAAGGCATAAATTGATACATTTATTTCATAATTTTTCATTACATTTATTTTTAAATCATTAAACAAATTTTCTGAAGTAGTGTTGCAGGATTGTATTTAAATACAACTTTTATAATACAAAATTATAAATACAAAATACACACTTTCTACCAGAAAGCTTACACCGATTATCAAGTATAGCACCTTTTCAGATAGGAAATGTTCTTTGGGTGGTATTTTAAAGAAATCATTTTTTGAAATTCTCATTAATATTCGAGATAATGAGAAAAATCTGATTCTTTAGGTTAAAAAAGTTTGAAAGATTAAAAAAATGATTGTCATTGGCAGCCGTTTTTATTTATTTATTGTTATCAATTTTTCATTATTTTAATATTTTTTAAACAATCATTGTTGTAATCATGTTACCATAATATGACATATATATTGTTGACAAAGCAACACTATCTATCAGTTGAATTCCACTCAGAATCGTTTTTTCATTAGTAATGGTTTATCGTTGCTTACAGATTGGAACGTTCCATTTTAAACCCACTCAGTTTAAATTTGAAATATAACCCGCGAACTGCTTATCTGTCATGGCGCGTTCAGAAACGTTATCCACAATTTCTAGGGAATTCGCCAGAGAAAGATTTAGCACCGCTCATTTCAATGAACCAACAAGTTACCTAAAGTATGTTAAAATGTTTATAGTTTTATCGAAAATAGATAAGATTAAGGCAGCCACAAGTTAATAGATTAGGATACTATCCAGTTAATATAATCATTGATTATTATATTACATTTTATATTAAATGGCTTATAATAACAAAATTGTAGCCATGGCTGCAAGCTGCTCAAAAAATGTTTTTCTAATTGTGGATTGACAGAGCTGTTCAGTCTTGATAATGATGAAGTTACATTAGAGAAAGAATCTCCAATTCGAATTGAAAAGTACATAGAAAATGTACATTATTCTGATGTTTTTCAAAACTTAAGTTAAAATCAGTAATATTTTTTAATTAGTGTAATTTATTAGTTTTTGAAATTAGTATAAAAATAGTATATGAAAATAGTATAGTTCATACACTTACAACTACAACTTGAGGAAACCTTTTTTAAAAAAAATAAATCAAATTAAACGTTAACAATAAACGCCTTGTTTTACATCTTGTTATTTAATAAGCGTGACAAATAGGTCAAAATTATATCAAATAATTGGCGCAAAGTAAGAAGTGGTTTGAATCATACATACCACTGTCGTTTTACGGTCTACAGGCGTATGTTAAAAGAAGCGAACTATCCGGCGACTAATCTGGTGTCTGAACGTAAAAGGTGCGTGTTGGTGAATCCTCCAAAACGACCCAAATACTTTCTGAAAGAGTCTGGCAACATCCGGCGACTTTAGAAAACATTTCTGAATGCACTCAACTTTTGACGGTCGATAGTCTAACCATGTACCACTCAATAACAGCGTATAACCAACACCAGCGTACAGCCTACACAACGACGCCCGCAGCAGTATCAACGTGCCCAATTCAAATGTCCCGGTCAACCGTTATTCGTACCTGTAGGCCCGCTTCAGGAACTACCATATGTAAAAAGATAATTAATTTTAAGAATTTAGTTTTAATGATCTTGTAAACACTGACCGTCGCAATCTATGTTTAATCCCCTCTTAACGTGTATGAATCCCGCTGTTTTTTTTCTCCGAAGACCACTGATGAAGGCAGACGTACGAAGATTTGTTCCGCCGATGTCCAAAACCAACAAGGTGGCCGCTTAAAATACAGAAGTGCGACGGATCACCGTCGTGGGCACCAGCCCGGTAATATATCTTGTTATACTTGTACTTGTAGTACTATAAGTCTATAAAGAAGTTATTTTTAAATTTTCTCAGGAGTTTTCTAATTAAATGGGAAAAAACATCGGAAAATCGGTAGAATATTAATCAAATATTATTAAAGAAAAAATATAATGCTTAAAATATCGAACTTTATCGAATGATTACTATAAAAATAGGGATAAGACCCGTGTGCAATATTCCGCACCACCTTGGCTATCGATTTGATAAACGCCAATGAAATATTATTACGAATATTTGACGCTTTTCGAAAAGAGTATGAGGTTTTTCATGAGACGCATTTTTTTTTATAGTGGTGTTCCCGAGTAGGCCTAATCCACTGTGTCGATTAACCTAACCTTATGGATTTAAGGTAAGGTTAGGTTAATTGATACATATGAGGTATTACACTCTATAATATAATACTACGATTACCGAATCCTGATCCTCATTCTTTGAAGTCATCCGCAGCTACCAGCAGTCTTGGCTCGAAGAGTTCACGTGCAAATAAACCGGGAAAAACCTATAAAGAAAAAAAAGATAACGAAATGATAAAAAAAAAAAAAAAAAAAAAAACACTACAATTAAATTGATTAAGAAAACTTAATAAACTGGTAAAATAGTTTTAGGAACGATTATAAAACAATTTAGAAAAATAAAAATGTAAAAACAACTATTAATAAAACAAGTTTAAGAAACATAATTTATTACGATTCGATTAAATACGCGTACAATAAACAAAATAAATATTAATGCTAACATTAGCCAGCGTGTGGTTTTGCGATATTTATTATCGTTCAAATAAATAAATAGTATTAATCAGTAAGCACACTTATAATTTTTGTTACTTTGGCGCGTTTTAGTGCTGATAGTGCAACCGATATGTGTTTTCAGCGAGGCAAGGTAAATACCTCAGGTAATATCCGTATACTATGGTGTTATTATACATTTTATTATTATTATTATGTTGTTTGGCTACTTTTTTTTTTACTAGCTAGATTTTAAAATAATAAAACTTATTGATTTGTTTATATTTATAAATTTATTAAAAAAAACTGTTTTTTTTTTTTTTAATAGTATGTTTTTTTACGTAAAGTATACTTTTCAATTTTTTGTTTTTTATCTATATAATTTATTATTATTTTAGCGCTAACTTGCCCCCACACTAAACACACCAACGGTATGAGTTTTTTTTTTTACTGTACATTTTTTGAGTAGGAATATTCCAATTTGTTTGGCAAAGTACTTAATTCTTTGAATTACACCTTGGACATAGAAAATTTAAAAATTTAATTCTACATAAGGCTAGATATTGAGGTAATTTTATCATAATAATAAAATTGATAGGTATTGGTTCATAGAATATTAGAATAAAGTAGGAATAATTATTACAAAACGAGTGCGAGTAATCAATGTAATAAATATTTCAAACGAAAGAAATATTAAAAAAAAAAAAAAATCCGTTTATTTGTTTATAGCGAAAAAAAATATTATGTATGGTTGTCGCTTTTTTATAGCTATTTTTTTGTAATAAACAGTAAATAATAATTATTATTTTGTTATTAGATCCCCTCCCCAATTGTTAAGGAATTGGATTCGTAACAAGAATATTAAACATTGATTTTTCAAGATTATATATTCGTATTTAAAAAGTATAATATGTGTTAGTATTAATTAGTATTATAATTATTTAATTATACCTAATATATTTTAATAGTTTAATTATAATATATAATTATTGTGATGATAAAATATAAAATATTTACTGTAACAACTATAATAAGCTTCGTAATTCTACACGTCAAAATATTTGATTACTTATGAATGAAACGACGAAATTATTTTTGTTTGAAAACAACAGTAGGCATATATACTTATCTTAAAAACTTCACAAAAATATACCGAAACTTGTAGCTACTGAAAATATAAAAAAAAATTATGCTGAAAATTGTTTATCAAACACAACGAATCGTGATTTATCGCCGTTTTCAATATTAAAAAAAAAAAAAAACCAAACATCATGGCACTCATTAGTAATTTTAACATTCTGTATTTTATGCATTGTATAGTAGTTTTGTAAAAAAAACTACCGTTAGTTCGAAAGGAGAAAAAATCTCGTTTAAAAATATAATTTTGATTTTTCATTTTTGATTGAAATATGTTTATTTTTTTCTAAATTTAATTGAATATTCATTTATTGATACTCGATAGGTACCTAGTAGGTAACTACTATATAGTTTACATAGTTGAAACGATATTTACATAAATTAACTTGAAAAATTTAAATTCATAACATACATGAACTAACATATGTCTTAAGTTAAATTATAAAACGGTAAATTTGTTCGTGAATTCTATAATTTAGCCTCTAGGTAGTTACTTATTCTATTGTATATTAAATATTGATTATTATCGTGTCTATCCGTTTACATGGGTTAGGTTGTGTTGTGTTTATTTAATCATTTTATTATCTGATCAATGATCTGTTTAAAAAACAAAACAAAAACAGACCTACCTAGATGTATGATTAAAATAATAAAATATCATTAATAAAAATATAGATACCTACCTAGATATTCACTACTCACCTTGCTGAAAAAACTAATATATAACAAAAATAAAATTGTAAAAAAAAAGTTTTAATCTTTGTAATCCTTACCTATCAGTAATACGATATTTAAATATAGTGTCTAATTTGCACTAATTGCCGTATTATTTGGACTATTTACAAAGATTCAAATTTCACCACTAGAGCACACTACTATATCGGGCCCTACTGTTGGAGACAATACACATATTACCACGGTTTAGGATATGGAGTTGCTGACCGGAACTCTCCTAAATGTGTACAAGTGTATCACCTTATCTTCTTTATATCGTGATTATAATATTTTAGTATATATAATATAAATATGTATATCTATCTGTATTGTGATATCAAAACCAAATGTGTTATCTTGAAATTAATGATTAAATTTTAAAAATTAATAATATTTTGTAATATTTGGTTAAAATATAATTAAGTATTCTGTACTATAAATCGGTAATAATAATTTTGTATACATTTTTGCTAAAGTTTTTAAATAGAATTTACAATTTTTTGTCAAATTTGTGCTTAAAGATCAAAGTCCAACAAACAACCTACCCGACTTTAACTATAAGTTCAACATGGATAATGTATTAAACAACAATTGTAATTGATTTTAAATTATTATGATCCAACATAATTATCAAAGACAGGATTTTATAACTACCTAATTTTTTTTTCTAGTTGAAAGCAAATGTTCAACAGTGTCTCAATGTAATAAAACAACGCAAAAATGTCAAAAACAATACCTTTCAGGCCATAATCAAATAATAAATTTATTGGAAGATTGGACTTGAGCGAAAAATATATTGTTTAATCGAGTAAACCAGATTATATTTAGAAGAATAATTCTACCACTACAATTATTTAGAAAAATAGTAGGGAAGACATTCAAATTAGTAGGTATGTAGGTATATCAATATGATGTATTAGTTAGATCATGCAATGTTAATATTTGGTTGCCACCTGTAGGATGAAGGGCTTGATTTGTTAGTATTTTATCTTTTCCTGAAAGCATTAAATTGAGTTTCATATATAAATTAATGTAAATGTACAATACATCAGACTATATTTCCACTTAATATTTGGTCCCGATTTTTGACTCGTAGTGTAATGCAAATAGGTTGCAATGTATATTATCATTTTTATCTACGATTCAATTCACTGTATTGTATTTTGTGTACAGGTCTAAGTAACTTAGTGTATCCATTTTATTTGTTTGAGATAGGACTCAGTTTACGAACAATGTTAAAATGGTACACCATTTATAAAATTTATAAATTATTAGATTTACATATTATTTTTTTATATATTACCTGAAGAGTTACAGTTGATTACATGAGATGCAAACATATTTTCTCCAAATTCAAAAATTCTGAGATTACAGAAATGGTTAAACATAATAAGCCGTACAATTTTAAAATAAAGGAATTTTAGAAATTGTATGGGCATTTATCAGTTTCCTTTTTTTTATCCTTTTTTTCGGTTTTTTCTAATTATTATGAAAATTAAAAATCTACTTTCTGCTTGAGCTATTAAATTTAATACGACAAAAGAGGTTTCTTGTAAATTTTTGATTGAAGTTACACCTTAAATATTCTTGTTTTTTCTACCTTTTTTTTTTTGTTTTTACCGATTATTTTGAAAACCGCTGAAAAATCAAAAAATAACTTCTAGTACCAACGATAAAATTTCTTTTAGAAAAGGTGCCATATAGTTATAAAAATAATAATTATAATATTGTTTTTAATAAATTGTCTATAAAATGTTTATTGACAATACTATGTTAACAAATTATTAAGTTAAAATGTGTTTAAATTTATTTTTAAATCTCAAATAATATATAATAATACATATACTTTTGTTTAATTTAGATTTATTACCATACTATACAGAGTTAATAAAATAATACGGTTCAATGATCCATTTATACCTTGTGACTCAATAATCCAAGTGATGTAAAAGTAAGTGAATTTAAATATTATTTACTTGATGATGTGACATAAATTTGAATCATTTTTCATTATTATAAAATAAATTATAGATTTGTTTGAAATTGTATATTTCATAAATATTTTTCAAAGTTATTATAATTTTGTATGTATTTTTTTTCTTGAAGTAGAATATAATGTGTAATGCTGGGTGTAATGTTAACTATATGAATTTGAAACAATCTCATTTAAATTGTAACTTCTAAAATATTTAATTTTATAAACAAAATACTCATATATATATATATATATTATTATATTATTTTATATGTTTTGTTCATAATAATATATTTTATTAACAAATGTAATATGATTTATACCTAAGCAATATAATATTAATTACATATTTCTCATTTAATTTAATATACTCATTGCTGGTCAATAGTTATATAGTAATTACATAACTCGTTATAAAATTACTGGTGTGCTAATGTACAATTGATTGATAGGTTATTTTGTCCAGTATTATCTTTAATACCAAAAGTCCAGAATAGGATTTATTGAAACCTTGGCTAAACAATGGACTATTATTAAGTACAGGTAAATTTATTTAAATTGATATAGTAATTGAGATTATATAATAATAGACATTATATTATTTTACAGGTATAAAATGGCAAACCCGAAGAAAGCTGCTTACTCAAACCTTTCATTTTAAAACTATAGAGATGTATAACCCTTCTACAAACAAACATTCAAATATATTGGTAGAAAAACTGTTGGAAGCATCAGCAAATAATACGAAAATCTGCATTACAGATTATGTAGCATTATGTTCTTTAGACATAATCTGTGGTAATTGGTTTATTAGTCTTGTATTTACAAGATGATTCACTAAGTATGGTCACCCCATATTTTTTTATTAAATTTTGCATAAATTCAAATCTGATTTTTGGAATTAGATAAAGCCGATATTTTCAAATACTTAGATTTTTCACAACATTTAAGGAATATTTTTTTGCGATACCAAATTTGGTTTTTCAAATAAAAACCTATATTAACATTCTTAAGTTCGGTTAATAATGTTGCTTTGTCAACAACATGTATGTCATATTATGGTAAACTAATTACTTTTGCATTATATATTTTCTTTAGTTATATTTGTTTAATATTGTACCTATTTTCTCGGTTTCCCCCATGTTTTTTCCTGGTTTTCCCATTTTTTTTTAAAGAAAATAGTTAGAAAAATAAAAAAATGACCTTAAAGTACCACCCCAGTCAGATTTCCTATCGGAAAAAGTGCTGTCATTGTATTGGAGCAAAATTGTTTGTCATAAAATTGTCCACGGAAAAAAAATTAACATCATTTGTAAAACAAATACATTCCTCGCTCTGCTCAGAATCTAAAATAAGAATTTGAATAAATACAAAATTTAACCAAAAAAATTCATATTTAGTGAATCATCTGTATATATTATATAGGATTTACCAAAAGAAAATAGTTTTTGGGAATTAGACATCTATGTATAGATTATACCACTTCATTGTAGTTATATTTATATTTAAATCATACAAGTAGTTTAAATTAATTGCCATTTAGTGGCCATTTTGTGAAATTGATTTTTTCGTTAGATGGAAACTACTTTTTACACCTTGTGAAATGCAAAAATATGCAATAATTTAAATTTAAAATTGTGTAAATTTTTTTTTGGAATTTGGTTAGCCACTTCCTTGAGTATTAAATTAAAATATTGATTACTCTTAATTATTATGGAATTTTTATTATTGGGAATGTATCATAGTTATATTTAAATATTTAATATGTTTTTTAAATAACTATTGAAGTTTATTTAAAATGATTGACATTTGAAAAGAATATTATTTAAAATAAAAACAGAATATACTTAAAGTATCTACACATGAAAGTATGAAAGTTATTTATAATCTCTGATAATCACCAATTACATCTGTTGTAAATTTAAACATTATTTAAAAAATACAATAATATCTACATCTTTTTTTCTCAAATGTATAGATTTTATTGGTTTGAAATGTTTTAATGTAGGTAATAATATTTATATTATATCATATCAAATTTCAATTATTTCTTTATATTTATAATATTAAATTATTATATGAATGATATATTCAAGTAACATCATGCATGCTATTTTACACTCAAACATTTAATTTTACTGCGTTCAGTATATATGTAAAGCGAATGATTTACTCACTTCAAAAGTTTTATTTTAATAAACAAGATAAAAACAATACACAACATAAAAAAATTCAAGGCTATGATTTCAGAAATGTGTATTATTATTTTGTGTATCAATTTTAATGTAATATACCCATATTAATACTGATTACTGATAATAATTTTTAGTAGTTAGCAATAATAATACCATAATACTTGTATCCTGTAAATTAATATATATATTATTCAAGTACACATAGTGGACGATATGGTTATCAATATTTCAGATTATCAAATTTGAGTGACCATTATGTGAACTATTTTTTTTTTTATTGAAAAAGTTGTTTCCTTTTTATGAAAAGATCAATTTCACAAAGTTAATATTAGTGATGTGATATAAATCCAGATTTTGCACCTCAAATTCCAAAAATTAATATAATATTAAAATTATTTTATAAAATATAATAAAAACTGAAGAAAAAAAAAATGTCTGAATTATATTAATATATTATTTTTTTTTTATATCTAAGAATTAATTATGGGTACACAATCAAATGCTCAAGAAGGTAAATCAAGTGAATATGTCTGTTGTATTAAGGAGTAAGTTTATAAATTAAATAATATATTATATAAATTATATTTTATCAACTTTTCTAATTTGAGTTTTTTTTTTTCTTAGCAAGGTTTTTACACATAGTTGACGAAGGGTTTTTGTTGGAATATTACTTATTTTTTAAATTAAAATTTTGGATATAGTAACTTATGTTTTTTTTTTTTATTACTGTAACATAACACTACTGTAATTTGTATTTTAAACCATTTAATATTGCAGTAAAACTTCCGCTAATGATTGCTTTTAAAAAAAAAGATAATCACCTCTAAATAGCGGTCATTCTTTCAGTCCTTTAGGTGACCGATATATGGAAGTTTTACTGTATAATAAGTGTTATGAAAAATTATAATTTACATTATTTTACAAATATTGTATATTATTTATAAACTCAAGATAATGATCTTGAGTTTATAAATAATAATAAATTTAATTCCTGTTTATATTATTTTAGTGTATGCAAAATTGTAGTTGGTTGAATGTTTAAATTCTGGCTATGGAATGAAATACCATTTAGAATAATTCCAAGTGGCCAATTGTTTTATAAATCAGTCAAAGTGATACGCGGATTTCCCAATAACGTTTGTATACTTAAAATATTATATTGAAATTTTGAAACTAAATTTTAAAACATTTTTACTGTGTAACAGCATCAGCAGCATATGGGCAGCACCTAAACTATTTCTTCTTAGCTTTTAATTATAATTTATGAGTATTAATAGAAATCTAAATAATTATTATACAATTAAAATTTACAATACAATAATTGTATTATAAGACTGCTTACAGCATTAATAAATGAAGTATTAAGGTGTACATAGATTACTTGTTGCTGATTCTGTGTTCTTGTTAAATGGAATTTAATAAAACAAATTGAATTGATTTAATTATTATGATAACAAGTTTGTAATTATTTAGGTTATTAAAAAGAGGTGATTGGTATTAAATGATTTGAAAAACCAAAATATGCAATCAGGAATTATTAATAGTATGTGAATTATAATTAGTTTTTTCTCATTGCCATACACTTTTTTCAATACTATTTCAATATTGTTTTTTAGAATTACTTCTATATGTTTTGGAAGAATATCCAGGTGAGATGACAGACAAAGACATCCAAGAAGAAATAGATACCTTTACTTTTTGAAGGACATGATATCTCTTCTGTGTCAATGATAATGACAATAATATTGCTGGGCTTATATCAAAATATTCAAGTAAAGATTTGAGTTAGTTAAATTTATCATATGTAACAGTTTTAAAATATTTTGCATTTTAGGATATAGCAAGAGACGAGTTGTATAATATTTTTGGTGACTCTGATAGAGATGCAGCAATGGAAGATTTAAATGCCATGATATACTTGGATGCAGTAATAAAAGAATCGCTTCGATTGTATCCAGTTGTATCACCCATTTCGAGAGAAATTCAAACAACTTTAAAACTGAGTAAGTTTATAATTCCAAATAATTTACATGATTTTTTTTTTTTTCAGTTTACCTTAGTGTTAACTTATTAGCCAGATTACTAGCATAAACTAATTTTTTTCCAAAATTATTAATTAAACACTACTCATTTGATATTCAATTTGTTATAAGTTATTATACACTTATACTATTATGTATTATTATTTACAAACAATTTAATCTCAAAATTTAAACCACTTACAAATTTTACACTTTAAAATTCACATCCAACAAAAATTACTACATAAGAAAAATGAACCAAAGAAATATACAAAATGTAAAACTTAAAAATCAGCATTTTTTCTATCATAAGTTACTAATTTAACTTCCAATATTTTTAATAAAGCTGAAAACAATTTATTAAATAAAGGTAATAAATTCAATATGTATCCAACATTAAACTTTCAATCAATTAAAAAACAATTAAAAACATTTGAGTCTGTTATAAATTATGTATAATTTCAAAATCAAACAAGATATAACTTAATAAACAGCACCAATAAAAACTACAAAAATAAGCCATATAAAATATTAATACAAAAAAGTATAGGTAAACGACAAAATACAGTTATTAACAATATAATGAATAAATTAAAAACAGATAATTCAGAAATAGTTCTGGTAGATAAATTTAATGCTATTGTTATCATTTACATTAATGAAATTCATAAGAAAACGTTTGACCCTATAAATAATAATAATATTCAAAACTTAACATGTGATCCAACTGTAATTTACACTAAACAAATTAATAAACTGATAACAATTTCAAAAAAATCATACCTTAAGTCCACAAAAAAATATTATTTAAATCTGATTATAAAATAGAGGCTCACACTTAAAACATCCATTCATAAAACTACACAAACAAGATAATCCGATTCATTCATTAATTAACTTTAAAACTGATCCAGCTTGCTAAATATTTACTCTCAAAAAAAAAAAAATTAATCATGAATACTGATACTTTTATTTATAAAAAATACATATGATTTTATTGATAAAATTAATGAAACTAATATTGTTACCAAATGATTTCTTTTGGCGTCAAAAATTTATATACATTCATTTCTAAACATGAAACAATAATTTCTTAAAAAAATAAACTTATACATAGTAATAAATTTCTGCGATCTTACAGTTTCCATAATAAACAATACATATGATTTTAGTATTTACAGGAAACCCACACAAACTGATGCTATAATACTACATGGTTCTAATCACCCTTATTCTCATAAATACCATTTTTTAATTCAATATTCTATAGGCTTTAAATAATTCTATTAAATAAACATAATTATCAACACGGACTCAATATTATCTATTGTATAGTCTATTGAAATAATTTCAATTTAAATACTGTTAAAAAAATTCATAAACGTGTTAAAGAAAAAATAATACACAAATCACCAAATAACGTTGTTAACTATTGTGTTATGAAATATCGACATAATATGTCTAACAAATTCACTAAAATTCTGAACAATAATACAAATAATGTAAAAATCGTTTTTTTAGGCTAATAATAATTTAATCAAACATATAAATAATAGAACTAAAAAGTTCATAAAAAATCCCCTTTCTTATTAAAATGTTGGTATATATAAACTTAAACATAACTGTAATAAATTGTATATAGGTAAGGCAAATTGACATATTAAAATAGGATGTAATGAACACATTTCTGAAATAATATTTTTAAAAAACCGATGATGAATCAAATGATTTATATTTCTTAACATATCGATTTTTAATGATAACCCATTTTAAATATCTCTCCTATTAAAGTAAATTATTTCTATGTAAAACGAAAAATTTGTATACATTTTTTTTTTCTATGTATTTTTTCATTTAATTTTATATATTCAGTCACATTTTACATTTTGACTGTGATAAACCTGATGATGAATTTTTAATTCGAAACCGGTCATGTATAATACACTTATAATACTCTGAGCAACATATTTATTCATTTATTTATTTTTTATTTTTATACATACATTTTTTATTTATATATTAATTTATTATATTTGATTAAATGTTTGAAAAAATAAACTCTACAATTATTATAAATCATAATAAATTTGCATTCTGAATATAAGGATGGTAAATTATTTATTTATACTTGTATATTGCTATATTGATATACTATTACTTACTATACTTTAAGGAAATGATAGAAAGACTTCTGTAAAGAAACATGAAAATCAGTATTTGGAAAAGAATTTGGCATCTTAATTGTAATCAGTCATAAATAATTTGTTGCAATGATTTTTACTTTCTTTTTTTTTCTTATTTTTAAGGGACTATTATTCCACCAAGGTTAGTTATATTTATATTTCCTTATATTATGCATAGAAATGAGAATATCCTGAAGAATTCATTCCTGACAGGTTTTTAGATGAAGAAAATAAAGAAAAATGTCTATTCAATTATTTGCCGTTTAGTGCTGGCCCAAGAAATTGCATTGGTAAAATTAATATTAATAAAAAATTTTATTTTAGTATACCTATCCTATGTACTAATAAATCATATTATTTATTTTAATTAAATTTATATAATATTAATACAAAGTTTGTACCGTTAAGGTACTTAATATAATACTCTTAAGATTATTGTACTAATTTATTATTGGTAATTAATTTAAGACAAAGATATGTTATGTATTTAATGAAAACCATTCTATCAACTCTTTTATGGAAAACAAAAATTGAAACTTAAAGACAGAAAGAAGACATTCAAATTGGTTTGGAATTAATTCTTAGATTAGTGTTGCTTGTAAAAATTATACAAAAATTATACAAAAATTTTATAAAATATAATAATTGTAGGATAATTTTGTTTAAATGATTCAAAATATGTAATTAAATTTAATATGTAAACCTTATCGTAAAGTATAACATTATTTGGCAAACTATGTTTCGTGAATATTTTTAAAGGTAACTTGTTTAATTTAATTTACATTCTTAAGGTGGTTTAGTAATATATTATTGTAAATTATATATTGTGATTTTTTTTATCATAAACTAGCAATGTTTTCAGTTAATTTTAAGTAAATTTGATTTTTTTTTTTTTTTAATCATTATGGAATCGATTAAGCTTTATTTGAAAGCCATTTTTAATTGTTTACCCTTACTCCATAGACCTTGACACATTCATTGAAATTCTCGGAGAGGGAAAATACTACGTTCTGTTATAGCAATAGGAATTTGGGTAAATTAAACTAGAGAAAAAATAAAGCAAAAAATAACATATAAATAATACAGTGCAATATGTTTTGAAGTGTTGTAGTAGAACAGTAAAATGTCATCTTTCATATGAAATCATTGAAAATAATACTGCTATAATGGCAGTGTGTTTTTTAACGAGTTATATTCTATTACTATTGTAGTAGTGATAATTGTGCATAATTTTTTTAAACTACTGCCATAGTAGTAGAATATTAATCATTAAAAAAATAAAAACACTTCTGTTTATTGTAGTATTATTTTCTAAAACAAACTACTCCTACTCCTGCCTACTCTTTGGGTTAAAAATTTAAAACTGTTATCACTCATAAGCGGTAAATCTGATATAAGTGTTGTGCATATAAAAATTCCTAGAAAAATATTCTGTGTTCAAAAGAGGAGGGGTTTGCTATTTGAAAAACAAAAGTATATACTTATTTTAGGTATGTGGAATAGGGGAAAAAAATAAAAAATGGTCTTAAATAAAGCATAACTGATTCCATAATGATTAAAAAAAATAAACAGAAATCAAATTCACTTAAAATTCTTCGATAAAATTACTGGCTCATCATAAAAAAAAAAAATAACCTTTTATTACTTATAAATGTATTATTTTTTAGGTTAAAATTTATTATTAAACATAATTTTTAAGTAAAATTGATATTTAATTTATATTGGTATTCTTTCTATATATCTGCTTACAAGTTAAATTAAATTATTTTTATTAGGTGTGTTTTTTTTGTTAATTTTTTTTTAGAAGATTTTTAATTTTTCAATCAAAAAAAATTTAATCTATTATGTTTTAAATAGTGTCATAATATGCAAAAATTCCCAAAGTATTTCTGAATTTTTTTGAAACGTGTAATGATCCAAATGTATACAAATTGATGATCTGCACACATTTATTTTACATTCCACTTTTTCCATTTACAAAGGTGAATTGTTAAGTACATCTTTTGAAATATATATTTATATGATTTATTTATTGTTACCTAATTATTATTTATACCTCGTGGCTAGTAGTGTAGCCATTTAAAACATAAATCAACCATTAATTTAAATAGTATATTATTATTGAATATCTATAAAATTACTGTTCATTTTATTGGTCTATCATTGCACATTAATTAGGGAACGGATTTAAATTTACCTAAAATTTACAAAAAAAAAGCGCATACAAATTTTATTAAAGCTTAAAAATATCACTTAAAACAAATTTAAAGAACAATACAGATAGAGTTTGTTAAAACGGTTCCCCATCTATTGTTTCTAACACATTAAAAAGACATTTATTACAAAGTAATTTTCTTCAAATTTCTTTGTACATGTTATAAGAAGACAACAATGTTTTGTGTTAATCGTCTGTTTAGTTCATTTTTGTAGATTTTAAGTACTTATTAATCCGTTCCCTATTTATTAACAACTCAACTAATTAGTATATAATTTTGATTCTGACGTACATGTCCTATTAAATTAAACGTAAATAACCCTAGGTTTTAATTTTTTTTTTTTTTAATTGACACCCATGATATCAATATTATTGTCCGATTTGGTATAGGTGCGACATCTATCGTTATTTATCTAGACTACGTGATCTTACGGCGATATCGGATTTCGTAAATTTCCTGGTCAGATGGCGCCAGCGGTTCATGTCGCATATAACAATTATTGTATTTTAAACTATTGATATCAATTAAGTATTCATAATGTGTGGGTACGTCCAAATAATAGGTTTTTAGATTCTGGGTGTAGCGAAAATGATCGAGTTGTTTAGATTTGGAAAAAAATGTGTTAGATTTACCCATATACTCGCCTATTATGTTCACTATATTATTAAGTTGTTCTTACGGCACTATAAAAATATCCACAAATCGGCCGTCATAATTTTTTTTTTTTTTCATAAGCGTTTGAAGTTCGAATTTTGATTAAAAAAATTTATAAACGTGTTAAAGAAAAAATAATACACAACTCGCCAAATAATGTTGTTAAATACTATTGCATTATGAAATATCAAAATAATATGTCCAACGAATTGGCTAAAATTCTGAACAATAATACAAATAATGTAAAAATCGCTTTTAAGGCCAATAACAATTCAATCAAACGTATAAACAATAGAACTAAAAAGTTCACGAAAAATCCCCTTTCATTTGAAAATGTTGGTATATATAAACTTAAACGTAACTGTAATAAATTGTATATAGTTGTGACAAATTGAAATTTTAAAATAGGATATAAAGAACACATTTCTGAAATAATATTTTTTAAAAAACTACCCTTAATTAAAATTTCGCTAAACGTGTTTTAGAAAATAACCATTCTCATCAAACAGAGAAAAATAATTTTAAATATATCTTAAGTGTACAAACCGACGATGAACTAAATGATTTATATTACTCAACATATCTATGTCTAATAATAACCCATTTTAAATAATCCCTCCAACTAAAACAAATTATTTCTGTGTGAAACGACGAAATTGTACAATTTTTTTTCGCTGTGTATTATTCCGTCGTTTATTTTTTCATATTCAGTCGCGTTTTACTTTTTGATTTTACCTGACGATGAATTTTTATTTCGAAACCGGTCGTACGATACACATTTAATAGTACTCCAGGCGACGCATTCATTTATTCATTTTTATGCTGTAGATATAATTTATGTTCGCTCGACCAGTGACCACGGTCCGTGTATCTCCTAGCTGCTACGTCGCAGCTAAGGAAGAATATTTGAAAATTGAGGTTTTTAGGTATTTTTGGCGCAAATATATATGGTTTTTTTTTTTTTCTATCTGTGAACAACTTTTCTACCAGAAATATATTGCTCCGATCAGTACTTTTTCTGAAAGGAAATCTGACTGCGGGGGGGACGTGATTTTGTGATTTTTCCTGGAGTTTACTCGATCTATTGGAAAAACCGGAAAAAAAAAATGAATCAAAAACGGGAAAATGTACGAATATACAGTAAAATATTTCGGCCTTTTTTTTTTACCCTGCGAACGACTCTTTTACCAACAGTTTTGTACCGATTTACAATGATAGCGCTTTTTCTGAAAGAAAACCTGACTGGGGTGGTACTTTACAGAGGTCATTTTTCGATTTTCCCAATAAACGGGAAAAACATGGGAAAACCGAGATTACGGGAAATAAGTACGTTATTAAACAACTGTTATTAAAGAAAATGTTTATAAGGCATATTGTGTAATTATTTTACCACAATATGTTATTGGCATATAACGTTGACAAAGCAACACTATCATCAACCGAACTCCGCTGAGAATCGTTGTTTTTTTTTTTTTTTTGTCACTCTATATGTTGCTTTATTTATTTATGTTCGTTTATTCATCACGGGTTACCTCGTTGATGCGGATGACACTACGATTGCCTCGTACAAGAAAAATATTATTATTATTACTATTATTTACGCCACCACCTAGCAATATAGCAAATCATCGTCGGGTCAGCTATTAACACCTATTATATTGTACGTACACTCTCGATTGGTTATCGAATGCAATTAGAAAACCGTGTTTGATTGTAGTTTTTCCGCAAATTAAATAAACATTAGAATAGACAAACCAAATTACATTTAAAAACGTGCGTATTGTCACTACACGTATACAAACGGCATCGTCCCGGTTGACGGGGAATCGACGCATCTGCCGGAAAATTAAATGCATACGCGTGATCCGGTAGGCAGGCGCACGTGTTTTTTTTTTTTTTTTTGCTTTTCCATTATAATATATTATTGTATAACTGCTAAAATCAAACGTTGCGTCCCATAAAGTCTCGTGCCGTAAAGTTTTTGACAAATTAAATTGGAAACGCGTTTGTTTTTAATAACACTCGCTTCTGCGGGCCAGATAATACCTCGTAATGGCACCGAGACGCACCGATACAGATATTGAATGTGACAGTTAATATTAGTCGTATACGGTTTAGAGAAAACCTAGCTCAAAAGTGTGATTAAATTGTAAATCTATATTTCATTTATTATCGTTTCTATAACACGCTTTTGAAACATATTTTCTAAATAATAATTCTGTCAATGTCCATTTTTTTTTTCCATTCGGGTTTTGTGCAAGAGGGACGCGTATGTAGAGAAAAATTGAATTTGTATTTTCGTTCGTCCTTGATTATTTTTCAAAAAAATTGTTCGAAATAGCCGTTTCGTGAACAATATTATTCTAAAATATTTTGATGCATATCCGATTCATATCCGAGATAAATAGTTTCTTAGCAACAGACTAATAGTCGTTTTAATTTCTATAAAATTGACGTGATAACGTTAATTTTCAATAATACGTTACGCGATAGGAAT